AGGACAGCGTACCGTCTGTGTACTTATTTATGTGAGTGCGCATTGATTACCCTCAATATATGAACGGTTAATAAAGTACTTTTAAAAGTTGATTCCAATTAGCACATTGGGGTAGATCATGCCGGTCTCCGAGCCGGTTTACTTTAAGCAAATAATGAACCTAGTACAAATAGAAGAAAGAGGGAAAATCGTATTTTCGAAAGAAGGAAACAAAATTGATAGATGAATGTGCACGAACAATAGCCTGAAAGTATGGAAATATGAAATAATAGCTATCGCTGTGGTCAACAAACATTTTTGAGCCATGTAACTTGTTATTTAGCACAAAAATACCCAAAAATTCTCGAGAAATGTCTAAACTCTTTTCTGGATTTACTTCCATACTCTTTTAAGCTTGCCCCCAGCCCCCACCGCACTTGCATCTCGTACATTTTTGCATATTCAATTTCGATATTGGGTTACCGCTGGATTTCTGGTTCTGTACGGAGTTTATTATTTAGTATGCAGGCAGGCGGCCTGACGAGTTCAAGGCGGTTCCGGTAGATCCCAACTGCAAATGCATACACAACCAATCATCATCATTATCATCATCATCATCTGAAATATAGGTTTTTATTGTAGTGGAACGAGACCTGTCGTCGAAACTCGGTCAAACCGACGGTGAGCCGAGCCAGATCAGGTAGGTTCAGTGAACTGCAATGAACTACAGATACTCGTACTCTGTGGATTCTCTCTGGCATTGAGAGCGGTGAGCAATCGATAGGGAGAAACTGAAACTGAAACTGAAGCTGAAGCTAGCTCTCCATTCCCGTGGGCGATGCTAGCAAAAAGTGTGTCAGGCAATTACATTGAAAGCTTGACTGTCAGCTTTTCCTAAACCAGTTTATGGTTAAAAGCGGCACACGAAATCACCAACAGAAGCAGCAGCGAGAAAGCTGTGCAAAGAAGTGCTCTCTCGCGTGCTCTCTCTCTCTCCCTTTTCGATCATGTGCAAACTTTTACATTGACTGCAGGCAGCGCTGACTGCGACTGCGACTGCATGATTAGCTGTAGTTGTACCTGTAAAAGTGGGCTACGTGATGAAATATAAGCAGCGCATGCGCTGCCCGCTGCCAGTCGTCGCGCAGCCGCTCACATGTGTGCACTTCTCAGAACTCTCGTACTGGAGCTCTGGCAATAGTTCTGGCCGCGTTTCCCACTCTACATTCTCATAAACTAAACTGCCAAAATGGCTTCCACTCCGGCCCGCAGTGTCTACATCACGAACGAGGTGAGTTTCCTGCTTTGCCAAAAAAAAATAAATAAATGCCAGCCAGAGAGAGGAGGGGAGAACGGAATACAAAAAGAATATGAAATAAATTATAAAGACGCCCGCAGGCACCTCTGATGAGTGCCCTGGCAGCTAATTAGTGCTGCCTCATTAAAACCAAACCAAAAACAAATGAAACCAAACGAAACTGTTGCTTGGACACTCCACCGTAGACCCGAGAACGCTACGCGACTTAGATCCCATGGAGCAAGCGGTGGTTGCGACCCACAAACATGGGAAAACGAAAGGGAACCTGAGAATAGTCGGGCAGCAGCCACTGCCACTTGAATGTAATTGCGAAACAAAAGCGTCGTTTATGCCGGGAATTCAACTCGCAGAGGTCAGAGGGCTATTGCACAAACACCATACCATTCGGATCCCTTTCCCTATCCCTATCCTGTGACCAGCCAAGGCGCAAAATATCTAAATTAATAATCAATGAAAACAATTAGCGCATAGACAAACAGCGGGCATATTTGAGAGAACTCGTTTTCAACACTTTTGCTTTTGCCGCCGCTGTTGGTGCTCTGGCTAAGCCTTTGGCCCAGGGCCTACAGCCCAGAAAACAGAACACCCATAACCAGTACCCCGATTCAATATTGGATTTGAAATGATTAGAATAAATTAGTATTCATTTTCGGCAAAGTCGGGGAACAAACAGCTGCAGGGCCCGGGCCACTCGTTCGGATCAACTTCGTCAGTGGCTCGACTCAACTCGGTTCTGGGCACGATGATATAAAAACGAATCGCTAAATTCAATAGAAAGCAACAGTAAAATTCAAACATACAACGAAAGCAAAAGCAAAAACACTGAGAGAAAAACAAATTCAAAGTTCGTCTTGGCCGCAAGCCATCAACAAATACATAAATGAGAAGGAGTCAGAAACGTAGGCAGCGAGTCGAGACGAGAGGAGACATAACGAAAGCAAAGAAAAATCAAATGCTAATTATATACAAATTAAAAATGTGGCTAATTGTGAGTGAAATTGACTGAAATCAAGCAAATAAAAATAAAAAGCATAATGACTAACGCAGGTCAATGGCAGCCAAGCGGGAACGAGTGAAAAAGTTATTAATATTGGGCAGTGGACTGGAAAAGTCTTAAATTGATAAAATACAGAAATATACAGTGACTAAGCAGGGCAGTTGTACAGCGTTTAAGTAGAGACTGATTACTCAATGATGATTGGGTTATGCTTTGACTATAAGTACTATATACTTTAAGTACTATATCACAGACTGTGTGGCACTGCTTGGACAAGTGTAGGCAGAGAGGTCTCCCTTCCTAATAATTAGTACTTCTCTGCCTAAGCGCAAAAGTTTAACAACATGTAGACTGCAACTATAATTACACTTAAAGGGAAATGAGTAAGAGTCAGTTCTGATTCTGACAACCGCCGAAGCCATGCCAAAATACCAACGCCCCCTATCAACGCCCTTCCAAACACCCCACCTATAGCATTTTGTTAGCAAAGTAATTACCGTTTATTGACTGTCGGCAAACAGAAACTTTTTTGTAGGCGGCCGCCTCAACTTGATGAATCTTCAAGTTCTTCAATCTCTTTGGCTGTTTGCTGGATGTATAGAAATATATTTACTATATGGATCCTTACTGGTGCCGCGCCCACGCACGGTTTGCGCCCACAAAATGGTAGGGCGGCTCTTCTGTTTGCTTGGCCCGCGTTTAGCCTATTGTTTGCTCATCTAATATTTGTCAAAAATTCTGAGTAAGAATAACGAAAAGATTATTGCGCGCTCGAATCAACAGAATGTCAGTGCCCCACACATACCCGCACACACGCGGCCACTCAAGCTCGAGTGCCGCCAAACGATGGCAACAATTGGTTGCCAAGAAGGCGTATGAGTGACATGCTGAGGAGCAAGCATAGCTCATACGCCCCGTGTGGTGGAAAAACTCGTTCCGACCAACATCGGGCCACACGCAAATCTCTTTCGCAAATACTTCATAGTGCTTTTGACCGTAATTTGATTTGGTCGAATGGAAACAAATTCAATTTGTATTGCATAAAGCAACATGCAACATTCACCAGGCGAAAGAAAAGACCGGTAAATACTCATGCTGTCAGAACCCTCCCCTTCTACCCGTCTACCCCTTCTACCCGTCTACCCTTCTCCCAATTTTCATTCTGTGGCACTTGAGAGGGTTTTTTCATGCAAATAGAATCTGACAGAAAATGCATTCTTACGCACAATTCACTTAGTGTGGAATGTGTGTGTGTACGTGTGTACGAGTATCTGTGTGTTTCGGTGGCTTTGCATATAAATCAAGCAGCAAAAGCAGCTCGAGTTCCACACACTTCGGCTCTGCCCCACTAGCAGCTTGTCCTGTAATTTATATTTGTTCAAAATAGTTTTGATGTGACTTTAATTAGAGAGAACCTTTTCCACTTTTCCCGAAGTTGCTCAGTTTGTAATAAATGGCTAACATAGTTGGGCCATCTTTATATAAATCAATGATGGAAATGTATTCATAGTTTTCTTTGTTTCAGAGAACACTTTTCTGCTTTGCTGAATCGGAGCCAAAAAGAGTTGCCTGCGACCCAGAAAATTTTGCAACTTAAACAATCATTGTCCACTTGGTATGCGCATTATTATGCAAATGCGGATTTAACGAGAAACAAGGTCCAAACGGAATATGAATTTGATTTTCATTCGAATGAAACAACTGAATATCAAAACAGGATGTTTGTTTATTTTTATATTTCCACCCGAGTAAATCACAATGACGACTCCACGCTTGATTTGTGGCATCCGTAAATACATTTCAATACATTTTTTAATTTGAGCTCGGTCTATCGAGTTGTGCACGGTTTTCAAGCTATGTGGCAAAAAGCCATGCAGAATCTTTTGTCGACTCCCTCTCTGCCTGTCTGCGTGGGTCAAGGGTCGGGGCAAAGATACGTTCATTTGTTTAATTAAGCGGCAACATGTGGCCGTCTTTGCTTGCACCTTGCTGGCAATTTGTGTCAGGGCTGCCACAGAATCTCAAAAGTGTTGGCGGCATACAAATAAACGCTCGTTTAATTGTTTTTCGAGTAACAATTAGACAGTCGCAATTGCAGAGTCCGACCTATGGGTCTGGCAAAGTCAGTGCCAGCTGACCGATTGTCATGGCTCGTTGGATGCCATCTCCCTCTCCTCTCATCTCCTCCTCCCTCCCTGCCGCACCTGACCCAACCTGCACTCGCTTTAATGCTTTGATTTCTGTTTTGCGAGCATTAAGTGCTGACCCCCCAGACACCCAGCCGTTGATGGATTTTTTATATATATACGTACATACTCGTATACGTCCAGTATATGCCGTGTATCTAGACATTTGGCCATTTCCAAAAGCGGGCTCAAAGTTCATTGCATTTGGACCTTTTGCCTTGGATGGCTTTCGAAATTCGTGAAATTTTTTTGGCAGGGGCTGGGAAAATTCACTCACTGCCAAATGGAAAAGCATCCGCCAACAGACACAGCTTGGCAACAAAAACTGGTTACGCTTGGCAAATGCCACGCGGCAAGTTGGCCTTGGTCTAATCCACTTTTCAGAATCCCCAGCTCGTAGAATCGGCTCCCAGCAGCCCCAGCCACAACAGCAGCTCCATTCAACAGCAACAGGCCGAAACAGGCGGGTAACAAATTGTGGCAGAGCTCCGGTGGCTGCCAGTGGCTGCCAGTGGCTGCCGTTGCCTGGCACTCTAAAACTTGATATGTTTGGCCTACGATTAGTCCGTGAGCCATGAGCCGCATTCGGGGCCTGGGTTGCCCGCCCAGAACATTGGCCAAGTGGCAGCAGTGGAGATCGGTTGTGGAGCGGGTCGCATTGGTTGCATGACAGAAACTTGACTTTGCACCGTTTGAAAGCGGACCAAACCTAACAAGTGGCGTTCAAGTGCGAATACCGAACATTTCAAATCAGCCAAGATCAATGTGCCACAGAATGAGCTTCAACAATGATGTACTGTCTTCAATCATTCATTCATCAATCAGTGTTTAATTGAACCACTTATTCTTATTTTGCAGATAATTATCACAGCCATGGACCGATTTGTCTGGTTCGTTCTTCTCGTGGTGATGTCCCACCTGGTCACGGAGTTCACCCGCGTCTCCGGCTATGCCCGCGGCCAACGTCACGAACTTGTGCTGTTAAACGATGTAAGTCACCATGTGGCCTGTGGTAACCTGCTCACAGTTCACTTTAAACTATAAAGTGATTTTTATGGCCACAGTTGAGTGCCATTTGCTCACTCAGCATATTCCCCCTGGCGTAATTGTATGAGTATTCAAATTAAAATCTGAATTCCGATCTTTTCAGACGATGCTGCAACCAATGCCAGTGCAGAATATGCTGCTCTACCCCAGCCACGAGTACGGCCAGTACCAGCAGCGTCCGTCCATGAACAGCCTGCAGCAGAATGCAGCGCTCCTGTTCAGTAGCCTGGCTGCAGGGGCAGGAGCAGGTGCGGGAACAGGAGCATCTGCTGAGCCCAGCAGCAACGCCGCCATGCTGGCGGTGGGTGACAGCCAGCCTGCACACAATTCGGAGCCCAGCTATCCCCTCTTCAGTCTGCGCCCATTAATCGACAGCATTTTCGAGGTGAGCTGGCCGGGATTATTTCCATTCGAGAGTTGCTGATTTTGCATTTGAACTTTCCGCAGATTCCCATTTCGACGCTGCGGGCTGTCAACAATATGGTGGGACGTCTGACCGGTAGCTATCGGCAGGCAACGGCGGAAGTGTCGCAAAAATCTGTGGCAGAAGGAACGGCTCTGCCCTTGGGCCATCCCAGCTCCAATCCCACCGCCGATTCGAAGTTCTCCGTATCGCAGCGCAGGGCAATGCGAGAGGAGATGGCGTAACTCAAATCCCGATTAGTTTGTAGTTGTGCATGAATGTTGGCATTTCTCTAAGTGAATGCTAGAGTGTTTAACGTGTGTTTTTTTCGTGTGCATTTATATAGTTTGTTTCTTAATGTTTGACTTTTGTGATATATGTGACATTGTTGTAAGACTAGCATAAGGACGTTTATGTCCGCCCAAAAAAGAAAATCCAAAAAAACTATACGTATTTACGTCTAAAATAAATTTACAAGAAAGAAAATACGAAAATCTCAAGATCAATGGAGCTCAAATACTGCTTGCAAGTGGTTCAAGACTAAACTCAAGTGCTTTAATTCTTGTGCCTAAAAGATGCAGCAAAAAACAACGCAAGAGATGTCAGTGCTTCTGAAACTGCATGTGATGCCGACGACTGCTTTAATATTTCATGCGCCTAAAAGCTGCAACATTAAATCAACAACAGAGATTGTAGTTCTATTAAAACTGTGCGCAGCCCTGTTCAAAGTATATATTTTGGAAAGAAAATTCAATGAATAAATATAAATATATAATACATGAAAAAATGAAAACGTGTCATGCCCAAATATTGCTTCCTGACCAAAAGTTAATAAACACATCAATCGGCATCGTTCGACAGTCGATAACCTCCTCCTCCTGACCCTTCGAGCAATCTGTGAATAAAAGGTTATCAAATGCTCATGGACTTCGTCGTATTTCCCTTTGTAATTGGTTTGAAAATGAGAAATATGTTAAATTCTGATTGAAAATACACTAAAATGAAATTCATTTTCAACAGACCCTGGGATAAAAGAACATCGAGAAAATGAGCAAACAGCAAACCATCCCCAAGTAATTGATGTGTGATGCAAGGGACCTACGAAAACCAAATCGGAAAGAATTCTTTTTATACCCGATACTCAAAATGAGTATTGGGGTATATTAGATTTGTGGTAAAAGTGGATGTGTGTAACGTCCAGAAGGAATCGTTTCCGACCCTATAAAGTATATATATTCTTGATCAGCATCAATAGCCGAGTCGATTGAGCCCTGTCTGTCTGTCCGTCCGTCCGTCTGTCCGTCTGTCCGTCTGTCCGTCTGTCCGTCCCCTTCAGCGCCTAATGCTCAAAGACTATAAGAGCTAGAGCAACGATGTTTTGGATCCAGACTTCTGTGATATGTCACTGCTCCAAAAATATTTCAAAACTTTGCCCCGCCCACTTCCGCCCCCACAAAGGGCGAAAATCTGTGGCATCCACAATTTTAAAGATACGAGAAAACCAAAAACGCAGAATCGTAGAGAATGACCATATCTTTTAGACTGCGGAATCTGAATTGGATCGTATTATTATTATAGCCAGCATCAAGAAAACAATTTCATTTTTTCTCGCCCTGTCTCTCTCTAACACACACGTAGCATAGGCGGCTTTGCTTAGAGTAAAACATTAGCGCCTAGATCTCAGAGACTATAAAAGCTAGATCAACCAAATTTGGTATCCACACTCCTAATATATCGGACCGAGACGAGTTTGTTTCAAAATTTCGCCACACCCCCTTCCGCCCCCGCAAAGGATGCAAATCTGGGGATATTCACAAATCTCAGAGACTATTAAAGCTAGAGTAACCAAATTTAGTATCCGCACTCCTGTTAGATCTCACTATAAAACGTATATCTCAAAATTTCGCCCCACCCCCTTCCGCCCCCACAAAGGACGAAAATCTGTTGCATCCACAATATTGCAGATTTGAGAAAACTAAAAACGCAGAATCATAGATAATGACCATATCTATTAGATTGCTGAATCTGGATCAGATCAGACCATTTTTTTAGCCAAAAGGAACAAATCAATTTGCAGTGGCTACGCAGCGCCCGACGTCACGCTCAGACTGATTTTCTGTCTCTCTCGCACGCACTCTTTGTCGTGTCGTTAAATATTAGCGGCGTCTGCCGGAGGAGAGCCATACTGACTTAGTATCGGGTATAACCTTAGAGTTGCGGTGTCCGCAGCAACTCACAACGTTCCCCCTCGTTAATTATATTTTCTTGTTGGACGGATTTCGCCAGCCAGACATCCGAGACACTGGCACTGGCAGAAGGCAGAAGGCAGAAACACATTAACACAGATGGTGGCACTGGCCGGCAGCTCTGTTTGTCATTTGAATACCTAATGATCAAATGCTTTGAACAAAAGAAGAATGCCCACCGCTGGAGCCGCACTGGGAGCAGGCGGCGAAGGCGGAGGGGAGGTCTGCTGGGGTCCCAAAAACCGAAAGAGAAATGGATATGCCAGTGGGCTCGTATCTGTCGTTCGGCTCGATAGAAATTAGGAAACTTTCCGACAGACTTCTTTTGTTTGCTCTTTCCACCACACCGCATTCAACGCTTCAATGCAATCCCCACCGCAACGCGAATGAAAAGGGATGTTGTATACGTGTGTACGTACCTGCCTCGTTAAACATCGTGCACCAGAATTACTCGCTATGCCCAACTGCAGCCAATGGCAACAGTGAGCAATCAGTTGCCCATGCCGCGTGCATCGAGAGCCGAAAGCTTTGAGGCAAATGAAGAGGGGCGAGGCCCCAAAAAGCGAAAGCAAAAAAACAAAACTGCAGACTCGAGTCGATTCCTCCAACCGGTTTGCCATGATTTGCACCAACTGATGTGCTTTAGTGCAGCAGCGTATACGCAATGTTGCCCAGAGAACATGCCCATTTGTGCCCAATCGACTGATTGGCTATTATAAAGAGAGCTTTGAGCATCGATCTTCATCGACCAGAAGTTCATCCTATCCACTGACAGTGTTTCGTCTGTTAGTTTTTTGTTTTGGCTGTTGGCAAGTTCTCACCCAATTGTTAGACCCTGTGCCAGAGAGGTGCTAATAGATCGAAGCCAGTTCTTTGCTGACCATATAGACATTTGAGATAAGCTTCCATCATCGTTACTGTTCAGTGTCCAGGCTTAAGAGATAATGCATACATGGAGCTGGAAGAAAGGCAGAAAACAGAACAGCTTGATGCTGCTATATAAATAGACGCTTGCATATTTAATTGCGCCACAATTCCAGTTTGCGAGGCATTACAACAGACAACAGACATCGCTCAGCGAGCAGCGGTCAGCGGGCAGTAGACACCAGACGGTAGACAGTAGACGCTCGCTTCGATTCCAATCCACTTCGCAGAATTCAAGTTTAAGCCAGGCCCGGGCCGACGACTCAAGCTCAGTGCGAGGTGACAACGCGCCGCGACAACAACGTACCACCAATTCGCTCAGATTCGCCAGTGAAGAGAAACCCAACAACAGGTACAACAGCCAGTGGCGTTAATTAATTGAGATCGGGCAGGTCGAGACAGCAGAATTTTAAATCAAATGTGAAAGCCTCGTAATTATGCTCCGCCAGATGGCCGCTCCCCGAAAACCTCGGTTCGAGGAAGAATTCTGCCAACGCGTTGCGCATACAAAAGAGCCTAGCAGCTAGAATTTATTTCGTTTTTGATTGTTTTCTAGATGCGCAAAATGTTCGCCTTTATCGGAGTGCTTTGTCTGCTGCAATCGGCCATCTTGGTGCACGCACAGGTAAGTTTTTCGCCCACCGCCCAAAACCATTATTTCCGCTGCAGCGTCGGTTTGTGTTCAAGCTGCGGCCGTGCTCAATCTCCACCAGATTCTGCGTTTGGAGAATATTTTAATTAGAGCGCATTCGTTTATTTATTTGCAACTCCATGCTGTGGCTTCCATTTACATAGATGTGGCTGCAGTTTATGCGGCAGCTCAATTCAAGAATCTAAATCCGTAAAAACAAGGCAATGACTCATTCAGAGGCATCCATCAGTGAATCAAATGCTCAAGTGCCACTGAATTCATTAACTTGATTAATAGATCAACTGATGATGAGGCGATTCTCAAGCTATCCACAAAATCCACTCGCTATTTATATGCAGGCTTTCTCTGTGTGGAACGAAATCGAGAACTTTGCCCCGCAAACGCGTATCGGCGGAGAACATTATCGAAATTCGCATTAGAATCACTTTGCCATTGACTGGGAATCAGTGGCAATGGCATTGGCATCGGCGTTGATTTTATTTGCGGTCTGCGGCGAAAGTGCGGCCAGCGGGGGGATAAAGCCATCCGACTGTTGGTTAATTGCTGGACGGGTCGAACACTCGAACATTCCGCAATTTAGGCAAAGTGCATGGTTGGCCAGCTACCGACCCGAGTGGCTCCAAATGGTTGTGCAATGTCCGGCATTGAAGAATTTTTAGTGTGCAGTTTCTCAGCACGCTTCGCGTTTAATTGCCAGCCCAAGGCAGGCAAATGCCTGCCCCCTGGATGGCAATTATTAACACACTCAACTACTCCGCTGGCTCATTGGCCCGACCCGTTCGCTTATCATTAATCTTGGGTACTTGAGCTGCTACCAACTATTATACATCATTTTAATAACTGCTGCCGCTGGCTACCTTGAACTTTGACTGCCTGGGCTGACTAATATCCATTTAATTGCATTTCTCCACAAATATTAAGCATACGCCGCATTGCACACAAGTCGTTCGACAGTTGAAGGTCGCTCATGGGATTGATGGTGATGGTGATGGTGGAGAGGGGGAGTGCATTCTCCCCAAAACGAAGTTCTCTTTTCCACTTTACATAGCATATTTTTTCAATGGAAAAGTGTAGATGTGTAGTCTGAAGAGAAGACTACACATCTACACTCTAAGCTTATGGTTTCCCCTCTTTTGGAGGGCTTAGATATGACATACGAGTACTAATCCGTTCCCTCAAACCGGCTTAGACTGCCTCAGCTGTCTCAGCAGTGGACAACTTTAAGGTTTACTCAACAGACCGAAGACATCTTTACACACACATTGGCCTTGAGGTTCTTTGCTTTGGTTTGCCTATTTCCCGTTTTCTGTTTACAAACCTTTTCTGAGGGATTTTTTCCTGACAATTTTTCTGTCCGGAAAATTTATTTCTATTTTCTGTTGTGCTGCTTGCGGGCTAATAGAATTAAGATTTTAATCAACGCATGCATGAAATTTGCATTTGAAAACGCCCACCAAAAAAAAATCCTTTCTGTTAAAATTAGGAATGAACGTAAAATGCCATGAGAAGGGTTTCCCTCACCGTTGGTGGTGTGGCACAATTCCAGCAGCGATTCCTTGGAATTTATGCAAATTGCCGGTCATTCAATCCCTTTGCACTCTGCGCCAAGAAATTGTTAGCAATTTTTTTGGGCTGGGACTAAGTGCTCACTCACTCCCTCTGAATGTATATCTTTTGTTTGCTGGCCCCTGTGGGGGCCAAAATCTTTAATTAGCGACTCTTCATTATCCGCAATTTACTAGCCACAATTATGGCTTTCTTGCCAGGAGAACGGCAGTGCCGTGGCCTTTGCCAATGGAATGCCTGCTTTTTAAATAATATCATAAATGAATACATAAACTCGAGTATCACTCGAGGGCATGGTAACAGCATTTCAGACAAATATTGACCTAAACCTGACAGAATCAACAAAGTTCTGTTTGTTTGTTTGTTTGCTTGTATGTATACTCGTAAATTTGTTTCATTTTATTCCATTTATACTCGTATGTATATTTTGATGTTTTCAGTCATTTGCATATTTGTCCGAATGGGAAAAGAAGATTAACAAAGAGAGAAAAATATGAAGTAATAAAATGTTTTCTAATTTATTTTAGTTGTTTTCCCACTGCAAATAACAGAGACCAGGGCATTAATTTATTTTGCAAAAGCGTTTACATTTCCCAGACCTAAAACCATATGAAAACTAATCATAAAACCATCTCATGGAGGAGAGAGAGAGAGAGGAGTGGAAATTAGATATACTTTTCCATATGGGGAGCATTTTGAGCGTGTGTAATATATAAATAGATTTATCTGTGGGCTCTGTCTGTCCTACATTTGCATCTCATTATTCCACGCACAGAGACATCCATAAGCCTAATACCCCCTTAGGCTTATGGCCATGTCGAGCACCTGCACAAATTGCACTTTGCGTAGCTAAAAGCTGAAGTGAATCATTAAATTGCGTTCTTTCTTTATTAAGATTCAAACATACATACTATATGTACATATATGTTGTCAAAGCGGAAGTATTTTATTAGCAAAAACAAAGTTTAATTGGTGTCGAATGAGTTGAAAATCCTCTCGAATTGAGAGGAGACTTAAAGAGCAAAAGCAAACTTAAATAGCCTATCGGTTGTGCCTAAAGATAAGAGTACTTTTCTACACATGCATACATACTAATATGTATATACTATGCATATGTAAGTGACTATTACACTTGACAATGTAAGTGCCAATCCAAGTGTCGCCTCTATAGTAATTAATATTTACAGCTTTTACACGCTCTCCCACACACGCACTCAAAAAGATACGATCCCACAGATACACCTCACAGCTCCAGCCCATAGACGGACACTTGTAGATGTGCCGATTCCTCCCCGAGCAATAGTTGGCCCCGTTGGCAGTGCAGGACGACAAACTGTTCACCGATGCCACCCGCTGTTACCAGAGCCTCGGCTCCATCATCTGCTGGTGGGCTGCTGCTGAGGTCCTCCACATGCATAGCCGTAATCTTGTAGCTATCAGAGGCATTCTGTATGGGTGGCGATTCCAGTGGAGATTAAGAAATTTATATAAAGTCGTGTATAATATATGTATTTGTTTATCTCACCTGCGAGCCGTAGACCACATCTCTGCCTGGGGTCTCGGGTGTTAGGTACACGTCTTCGGTGTACAGCAGGCTGGCATATTTGTTGACATGTCCCCAGGTGACTGAGGCGCCACCACCGAGCGGCACTTGCCCCCCCAGAAGCAACAGCAGCAGCAGCAACAGTTGACTGCTCTTCAATTCCCATTCCCTAGCATTTGTCAACATGACAACATGTGTCCGCCTCGCCCACTCTGCGAGTACTCTGAGGCCACGTTCTGACTGCGGTTCTGGTTCTGGTTCTGCCTCTGCCAATGCTTTTCTTTCTCCTCTTTCTTTTGTGTAGCAGGGCACTCACTTTCCACTTTTCACTTTCCCTGGTTCCACCTTCTTCTCGTGCTCGTCCCACAGACGTATGAAACTCAAATGAGCCGCCTTCAGGTGGCCAAATAAAATATTGTCGCTGTGTCTCTCCCCATGGAAAAGCTGTTATCAGTGGCAGGTGTTCTGGCCTACCACACTCTTACTCTTACTCTCTCTATCTCTCTCTCTCTCTCTCTCTGTGACTCTCTACCTCGTTCTTGTCGTGTAATTATATGATATCTCACTTTGGGTGGAGTTGTTGGACTTGGTTTAGGAGGTGGTCAGGGTCTAAGAATTCCCAATAAAGGCAGTATTCATGACTGCACGATGGCGTGGAAAAGAAAGAGCAAGGCAAAAAAGTACCATAAATACCCTTAAAGCTGCATTTCTCTTTACTATAACAAATCGAAAATCAAATTTTCAAAAATTACTTCAACTTTTACCCATGAAAGAGCATTCAGAGATCATTATGCCACTGGGAATAAAACCATTCTCGGTGGTGTTTGCTTGCGTTTGTCAACTGTGTTGGAACCTGTCATAATTATTGATAACTAGCACAAAATACTCTCCACCCATTGTTTGACTGAAGCTCTCCGACGATTTTATCTGTCGCACCTACTCCGATATCTTTTATCAGCGAATCGAAATTATTCTGCCTGCTGGCCGGGAGATCTTTCCGATGGCTTCTCATCGGCAAACTGTGCAAATATTTGTCCAAATTTTTGAACAGACGTCGAATTGCGGTCTCATGGCATCTCGGCCGACCTTAGCCGACTTTAGATACTCGTACCATAGCAGAGTTGCGAAAGGCTCGCGGCCGTAGAAGGCGGAAAAATATGAATAATTATAGAAACTTACTTAAACGGACACAAAGGGTTTCGTGTTGTTTGCACCAGCAAAAGTTTTGACAAAACTTTTAACTATTACTATACTGAAAACCCGACAAAACATCTTATGGAAAGTTTCGGCAAGCCGAAGCTTTAAGCCAGAATCCTGACCAGCTCCCGACCTTTCGTGGGCGAGTTCTGGGAAGTCAGGAAACTTTCAATCAAATTACGTATACGCAACGAGTAGAGAACTTTTCGCTATAGCCTCACATCTCTCACATCTGAACCTCCCTCCTTGAAGCTGATTACGCTGCGCGATGGCAAGGTGGGCGTTAACTTTGCCGGCTACCACGCCGATGCTGGACTGGGCGGCCTCCTCACTGGCAACTCCGCCCACGGCGGCCTCAGCGCCTCGGCCGGCACCCCCTGGGGCTCACGAGCCGCCGCTGGTCTAGGCGGTAACCTTGACGGTACGAAATATCTACACTTCTCTTGATTGATTTAATTTTAGTTACACTTTTGTCCTGCTTCTCTCTCTGTCTGCAGGACGCACTGATGGCTTTGGATATGCCGCTGCCCAGGCTAATCCTTCCGTGGGCGCCAGTGCCCTGCTGGGAGGCAGCGCTGGCGAACACGGCTATATTGGCGCTGAGGCACACAGTCCCGGCAAGACGGTCATCTCCTCCAAACAGCACACGGTCCATCAGGCGCCAGTGGCCGTCTCGCCCACTTCTGGCCCAGATGCACCTCCGGCCCTGCCCACCGTCAGCAATAATGTCCAGAGGGTTAAGCCCCCAAAGAAGTATTCGTTGATCAGGCAAGATGTGAGTATGCATATTTATACGAGAAGACTGTACAAATTCCAGCAAGTTTCGAATAGCAAGTGAAAATCGCTTAGGAAATACTCGTGTGTAAAGTTTTGGACAAGTATTCGGGGAAGTTTTCATGGAATTTGCTGGCATAAGTGTCGAAAAGTACCCCTAAAGAGGAATAAGCTCCTACTTTATCAATTGTAAAACTATTTATGGGACTTTCCCAGAGAGATTGCCTAGCATGGATGTGCGTGAATGTGAGTGCTTTTAGTTCGTATGAGTGTTAGATAGATTGATGAATAGCGCATCGACAGTGCATCGACAAACTAGAACTCATCAATATATGCACCCCTCTCTCCGCTGATGTGTTAGACGGACCGCAGCGAAATCATTGAGAATCATGTTGTGGCAGCCGCAGGGCCCATCGTGCCCGCCACACACAATCCGCCTCCAACTGGGCCTGCCACATCGGTGATAATTGTGAAACGGCCGCGCCACCGCGTCAAGCGACCACGTCAGCGGCAACGCACCGTATACGTGATGCAGCAGCAGCAGCTGCAACAAAGCGATTCTCCTGCAGGCGACACCCAGGAAGTGCACGAGCGGAAACCAGAGGCGGAACAGGAGAAGGTAACTGTGGCAACAACAACCAACCAAATACGATGCTGTGTGGCAAAGCATACAGACACGTACATACAGATACAAACCGGCACAAGCACACAGATACACACACACACACACACACACACAGCCACGAATATGGAGAGCGAAGGAGAACAGCAATTTTTGGCTTTTCGGTGGATAAACTTTCGCTTTAGGGCGGAATTACATTTTCCTGCTGTAATTTTATTTGAAAACATTTGCGGACAATGTGGGCGTGGTCAGGTCAGGCTGCCGGACATGCGGCCATCGACTTGTTGAAATTACATATTTCCAAATCCAAAACATATTCATATATACTCGTACCTAGTATTTTTGCCTTGCCTTAACTTTAGTTTGATGCATGTGACTTTTTGTTTGCTTTTTGGTGGCAGCAGTGGCGGCAGTGGATTCCGGCATTCAGTTCCTTTATTGCCTTACACTAACCTGAATATCCTCTCCGCCCTCCCACAGTCACCAGTGAAGACCGATGTGAAGACCGTGCAGACCCACAAGTACTCGAAGACCGTCCAGAGGCCGCAGACAGTGGAGAATCGCTTCCTGGCACCCCAATCCTCACCCGTTGGTTTGGCCCTCGACGTGAGTGCAACGACTCTACATAGATTTATTTGATCTTTACCTTCTGGCATCTTATCTTATGGCATTGCAGATTCCCATTGGCATCCTGCGCTCCTTGCAGCAATCTCTGGGCAACCTGGTTGGCGGCGGTGCGCAACCCAACGCAGGGGTGGCGCCCGTTCAGGGCTAATCCCACCTTAGTATCTATAAGCCTCTCTTTATATACAGTTAGATCCGGTGTCAATAAAGCGTTTAAACAGGTAACCAAGCCAATCTGCTGGCTGTTTCCCGCCACTGGGTGTTTGTGTTGCCCCCGGGGACGGCGGAGAGCTCTGGGGAAGGGAACCACCGCCAATCATCAAGTTGAGACACGTTCGATCGAATTTCCATTCAGAATAATTTTGGAGGAGAATTCACTCGAGACTGGGGCCTATTAGCAGCCTCGTGTTGCGTATTATCATCGAGAGACTGAAGGGCCTTTTTTGGTCTGGAAATTAAACTGACATGAGACGGCCTATCCCTTGGCAACCATTGGCGTTTACGTAGAGGAAACAAAACTTAAAAACTTCCGGCTTAGACTTCAATTATTGCATTATTTCAAGTGTTTACTCTACCGTTTCCTCCTCTTCAATTCAACTCTTTTCAAGTCGAAACCCGGCAAGTATTTCGGCCACTTTTGCTGCTCTTGTTGCTGCTGTTGCTGTTTCTGTTGCTGCTGTTAATTTAAAAGGGTCCCTTGCCGTTAAATCAAATGCCACAACGGGGCCACCAGCAATGTGGGGAAATGAATTGAAATGGCATCCGAGGCATACATATGCGGACGGGGAGCAACTACTGCAAACATATCGTTAGGAAATTCGGTGGAAATTCAAGCTGGTACCAGGAAAATTTCAAGGCATTGGACTTGTTTATTTAGGAGATAGTGTGAATGGGTGTCTGTGAGAGTGCGTGTGTGTGTGAGTGTGCGTGTGCGTGGGGTACCATCAAGATCCAGACCTCAGACAAGATATGGCACACACTCACACACACTCATCAACCGCTTTTGTGAGAGAGCAGAATATTTCACACTCTGCAACCGCAGGCACTCGCTCGAGCGTCCCAAATTTGGATGGTTCGTGACGGCGGGGGTCGAGAGGAAAGGCAAATGGAATTCAGGAGGGGGGTGTATTCACACGTAAACAAATGCATGACCCACAACAACAACAACAACAACAACAACAGCAGCAGCAACATGCATTGTGTAAATATGCTTAAATACTCGAAGGGCTTTTGCGCCGTTAGCCCCTCACAAAGTCACGCATTTCCCACAGCAAGAGTGGTGTGGTGGTAGGGGATGGTTTGTAAGGGGGGTACCATTATAGGGCCCATAAGGGTCAGTTTGCTTAGGTCCCAACGCATATCCTGTGGCGGTTAGTGTTAGCGGCTGATGATATTTGAATTTCTTAATTAGTGGCCCGCCTGGAATTTATCGCCATTTGGTCAGTACTCTATTAAAGCCCTTAAGCGAAAAATAAATGAATGCAAACGGTGTATAAAGCAATAGAGAAAAACATAATCCTCATATCCCTACCTGAAACCTCTACTGCCAGTTTCCAGAGCCCACACTTGCTCTCCAAATATCCATCCGTCTTTAGAGTGAAACCTTATTTAACGATTCAAAGCTCAAGCAGATTCCACCGACTCATTCCCAGTCTTATTATGAAATATTTTCCCAACCCACGCCATAACTTAAATTAAATTTCTTTTAGAAGTAAGAAAACCCGGTAGATGTGTACATACATTTATATACATATAGTTGAGAGTACCACAGACCCTGCCACACCACTTGGCAGCCAGAGTCAACATCCCATTTTATGTAATTTTTTTTGTTGCTCTCTTTCCGCTGGTTTCCAGGAGCCAGGGGCCAGGGGTCAAAAGGCAACGAAACGCGAGCCCGATTTGTCGGTCGCGTCGTCGCGGTTGCCTCATTAAATTTTACGCACGTGCCGCACAAATTATGTTTACCCACACAAACTATGTGTGTGCTCACCCCACCGCACTGCCACCCCATGTCCGACTCGTATATATTTAAACATTTTTCTAATTTAGAGTTTCAGTACAAAAGAAGAACTTAAGTTGGAAATTGAAAAGGTCTTGGCCACAATTTATGTGGGCCGCAGGAGGCCGAGACCTAATGTATGACCACAAGGTGCTTGAGTGCGCCCCAAGGTAGGCATAGGAAAATTTGTGGTAATTTCATACTATTAGAATAATTTTGACAATGATTTTAAGAGCACTGCTCCCACCCGCTTTGTTTCTCAAATATCTGAATCAAAAGCAGAATCTTCATCTTAAATTAATGCTTCTCAGACAACGTTGCGTATGCGCTATATACATACGTATGTACTTAGGACTGAAACTCGGTAAGTAACTGACTGTCAGTCAGTCAGTCGGACTGTGACATCTATAAATATTCAGTTGTTGAGTTTCTGAAGATCGAGTGCAAACGTATAGAATATAAATATTCATATATTCCAGAACTGGGAACCCCCATGTTTAAAAACTTTCCGTTTTCCACTTGTGCCTGGCTGCTGTCGCTTTTCATTCAACTTTCCTT